TATACATATGCGGTTATCAGGCCAGATCTGGCTGTATTTGTACCCACTAAAGGGTTGCACAACGTGAGTTTTGCGTATTATGAGGTGTGCAAATTTCTCTCTTGCTTATCACTCCTTTCGCTGTTAATCTATCATTGTTATTCGTTTCACTCTTTTCATTTCAATCGTCACGCTTATAAGGTGTGAAATATTTATCTTTCATTTCTATCATCACTAAGATTCGCCTTTCATTTCTATCGGCAAATTTTGCGAAGAAATTTTCCATTTGGATATTTCCGTTGAATTCCTCACGGATTTCACTACACTGTTAATCCGCTTTCAAATATTCTATTTTAAGAATTCACCATTTTTAGCCGAAAAAATTTGCTCCAACCGAACAAAAAATAATATTTGCGACTGTCGCTTGTAGTTTCCACCTGTTTGCTCTATGTGATATGTTGACGCACTAGTCAGATGTTTTATTTGGATTTAAAATCGAGAATTGGAAAAATAATTTTGCGTTTAAAAATAGAAAAATAGAGAATTTAGAAAAAAATAGAGAATCATGAATCATGAGCTGGTGTCAAAAATGTTCACTGACAGATGATATTATAAGACTAAATTTACAATTAGTGAACGCTTAGTGAACATATGAAACGATATGTCTTCGAATAAAGTCATTCGAGCGTTTTATAATAAACTTTATCGTCGAATAGTGCATTTGTGTGGTAGAATGTTGTCGTAGATTTTATTCGTCTTTATAAATCACAATTATAAAGACACAAATAATACGAATAATGAAATGTGAATAAAACCACAATAGTAATCAACAATGGATTAACAATGAGAATAAGAATAGCCGTTCATACTTGTCACCTGTGGCGTGTTTTCGAATTTCGATCCTTACGATGTTTCGGTAGTTTACTTGATCATCGAGACAGCGATAAGCGAGCACAGTACGTAAAGCTCTTATGCAAGGTGTTAGTTGTCAAAATCAAACGAAAAACATGAAGCATTATGCAGAATCAAAAGCAAGCAATGAAAAAATAGTCTATTGTTGATAAATATTGAAGATTTTGGCTGTCTACAACGCAGTAACAGCGTTCATCACAGTGTTGATCAATTCAGTGCTTTATCTGACGATTTGCATTCGAATACGATGCTACACAAGGACAGCGGTAAGATTATTTTTGTGATTTTTGCGATCATAATGACGATGATGACAAAAAATCATTCATGATCTTAAAAATCTTAGACTACTGTAATATTTATGAAAACATTAATAATGATAATGCAAATATAATAAATATAGTGGAACCATTAACACATCTTGTAGTATGAATATAAATGATCATGATTATTCGAGTAATAGTGGTAGCGATAGTGATAGGTATGGAAGTGATAACAATGTAATGACATTATGATAAAACGGAATAAATGTTTTTTGCTGATCTTTTCAGATTGCACAAGCGAACACAAGGAGAGAATTTCATATTCTGTTAACGTGTTTGGTGCATTTTGCTGTAATTTTCTTAATGTCCATGCTTGATTGTTATTCTTATACCGCAAAGCGATTTGACCCAGAATTTTTATCGTTTTATGCAAATGCTTGGTAAGTGTGCATTTGCTAGTTTCTTTTGGGAAATGGTTTCTTCCCAGCTCTAGTTTCATTCCATTCTTTTGTTGTTTTAATCGAACTTGCTCCTTTTGTTCAAGCTAACAATGGGAAAAAGCTAAAGAAACAGTATTGCACTCTAAGATATTCTTTAAAAGGTTTTTAATGTCAAAACATTTTCCGCTTTGAAATTCTGCAAGAACTGTCAAATGAAATGGCAAAAGATTTGCAGCGGAAAATGAATGCAAAACGAAAATGCACCATTTTCAACGTTAATGATCCACTACATAAAATCTCTCACAAGCTGGTCTTAACTACTCACATCTTAGAAGTATGTATGTATACGAGTACATTCCCGAATGCACCATTTGGTCACATAGATCGCTCGAATTGTGTAACAGTGCTCACATAAGACTGTTCATTTGGGCATGAAATAATCTGAACGAGTTGATTGAGAAGGAGAACTTTCAAGCGAATTTAAGTGGTCATAAATTATGTTTTATGAGAGAAGTGAATCGTGAGAAATTTTTAGTGAAGGAAAAAGCACTAATTTGCAAGGAGAACTATTATTAGTTTGAGAGAACGCAAGTTTTTCAATTCTATGCATTCAAACTGATCCTGAGATTCAAGTCCGTCTATGTTTTGAACTGATTGCGGATTCTCAAGGTTATACTAAAAAATTCCCAACAATTTTATTCAGTCCAGAAATTCGCCCATCTCTTCAACTTATATCACAAGATATGGCATTGCTCTTTCTCGAAGTACAGCACTAGCAGTAATTAATAAGATTAATATTTAATTTTAGAAAGATTAAGATTCCATTAAGATTCCAAGTTTTTAATACATGTAATATTAATAAGATTCCCACCAATAATGATAGTGATAATAATTTGGCAATAATGATATGAGTAATCTGGAAGTAATTTACAGGGTTGTTTTATCTGAAACGATGTGTTTGATGCCACCGTTCGCTCTGATCGGAACATGCTCATCGATTCGACAGTCGATATTCCACGTGAAAAAATGCATGGTCGGTTGGGTATCGCAAAATATTGCGTTACACAGTAACAAGTGATAATGGCATGAATTGTAAAATAAAAAGATAAACATATCGGATGAATATGAATAATGGATGAACAAATTAACATGTCACATATTCATTTGTTCGTGTAATTGCAACGACTCAATAAAAGTTTATATATAGCTCTAATTACCCATCGGATTTGAAGTGTCAGTCAATTCCTTCCTTCCTTCCCTCACATCGTTCTTCGCAAACAACTAACAATAACAGCACAGGGATTTAGCAGTCTTAATGAAATTCTGATCTCAATTTTCTTGTATTGCACGACGAGTAGTCGAGTAAATAAGTCAGTAATTTTGTCAGTATAATGCGAAGATTTTTCATACAACTTGTTCAGTTTGCAAGTGAATTATGCTCAATTGATTTACGGCGATAATAAAGTTAGGTATAATTGCTGTGAAAAAGGATAAATGCTTTGGAAATTTCATCTGATGCTGCTGAAATTCACCTCACCGCTAACATAGAACTGCGCGTACGTAATTCATTTCTTCGTGCAATTATAATAACTCAATAAAAGTTTATGCGTCTTACTAGCAAAACGATCAAAAGTATCAATTAATCCTTCCTTTCCTGATACTGTTCTTTGCCAACATAGCTAACGGTAATAGCGAAGGGACTTATTAGAGTTTTTATGAACGTCTGATCTCTATTGTCTGATG